TTTTTTTTTTTTTTTTTTTTTTTTTGCGGTACGCGGGCCTCTCACCGTTGCGGTCTCTCCCGCCGCAGAGCACAGGCTCCGGACGCGCAGGCCCAGCGGCCACGGCTCACGGGCCCAGCCGCTCCGCGGCACGCGGGATCTTCCCGGACCGGGGCACGAACCCGCGTCCCCTGCATCGGCGGGCGGACTCTCAACCACGGCGCCACCAGGGAAGCCCCACTTGTACTGTCTTTCAAGTGATTTTGAAATGACCTTTGAAACTGCCCTGGGAAAGCTGGGAGCTCCCATGGGTTCCAGTAAACCCGAACTGGTGTGGGCAGGGAGAGGGCTGCTGAGAGCCAGTTAAGTGGCCTCAGTCATTTGCTCTGGGAAACTCAGGTCTGTAGAAAAATCTCAGCTCCTTGCTGCATTTGATGACATGTTTCCAGAGTGAGGCCCACAGCCAGCCTAGATCCCCGCACACAGAAAGGAAGTTCTATTCTCTAGCTTTCCCCTGACGCTTGGCCTCGCTGCCTCCAAGGGTTGTGAGAGCATGGGGAGTCATCTGATTGACTGAGCCACCTAACAGGGGGTCTCAGTCGTGTGGTACAATCACTTGGGGAGCTTTAAAGTAGCCCTGATGCCCAAGCCGCACCCCAGAGAAATGGAATCAGAATTTCCGACACTGGGACCCAGGCATGGGTTTAAACTTAAGCTCTCCCCGGGTGATTCCCAAGTGCAGCCAAGGTTGAGAACCACTGCCCTCAATTCAGGGTCCTCACCTTTGACTAAAGCCCAGCATAATTAGAGGTGTCAGTTCAACTCCATTGGGTTAAAAAAACATCACACCCTCCATCATCACATTGTGTCCAGCCAGGACTTAGCTGCCCTGTGCTGTTTGCCACTGGGAGGGCTGTAATGGAGGACCACGACAGTCTCTGCGCTGTGACTTGCGCGTGGCCACCATCCACTGCCCTCCAAAGGGCCACGGTACATAAGGATATAATCGGCATGTCTTTAGTATTAAAATTTCCATGGGGTGTGTGAAAAAAAAAAATCTATAAACAATCTCCCTCGGTGGGGGGTGGGGGTGGGGAGGAATGATAAGAAAAAAAGAAAAGGTTGAGAAATACTCGTTTAGAGGAAGATGTCTTTGCTTGCCTTACGTCTCCCCCAGAGCTAGGCACTCCTTTGGAGTTCAAGCCCCTAACTGGCCCTGTGGCCCATGTACTCTTCTATCTGGACTTCAGTTATTCCTTTTGGAAAAAGAGAGATTTGGGCCAGGTGATCTTTAAGGATCCTTCCGGCTATGGGCTTGCAAATGAAAAGTCAGTTTCAAAAATCAGGATGTAAAACTTAATTTCCACAGGGGAGAACCAATCAGAGTCGGATGACCCAAAGAAATTATCTTGTAAAAGGCAAGAGAAGGAGGAGGTTTTCATAAAATCGCTTTGAATTGGGCTGAAACCGATATTTTTCCACAACAGCTCACAGAAAGGAAAGCACAGAATTCCTGCAGTGCATAAAAGCTGGAGAACATTTATTGCAAAGAGAGTCATTTACAGCAAGGTATTCTGCAGGACCTGTAACTCATCGTTTTATAGATGTACTTAATCCTTTGCTAGAGACAGCTACTCTGCCGTTTTGAGAATTGAAACCTTCACAGTTGCATAGAAAATATTTTGATAAAAGGTATACAAGAAAATTAGAATAGCTCAATCTGCATTCTATTGGTTCTTTCACATAAAATTCTGTATTAGTGGAATTCTTCCATCCAGCTATCAAAAATTGAAAATGTGAAATACTGTTAGGAAATACTCACTATAGAAGTGTCATATATAATATTCATTACACATAAAAAAGAAATCAGCATGTCTAAGTCAGTTTAATCGTGACCATTATCAGGGCTAAAACCTTTTGCGATAAAATTTCACTAAACTAAAATATTTAGTAGTGCTATATTTTGGGGCTTTTTTTTTTTTTTTTTTGCGGTACGCGGGCCTCTCACTGTCGTGGCCTCTCCCGTGGCGGAGCACAGGCTCCGGACGCGCAGGCTCGGCGGCCGTGGCTCACGGGCCCAGCCGCTCCGCGGCACGTGGGATCTTCCCGGACCGGGGCACGAACCCGCGTCCCCCGCATCGGCAGGCGGACTCTCAACCGCTGCGCCACCAGGGAAGCCCTGGGGGCTTTTTGACACACTGTTTCAGACCATCATTTACAGTGAAAGTTTATCGTCAACAGTCACACTGCAACTTCCCATTTTTCATGGCAATAGCATCCATCTGTTATTCTTCTCCTGGGGGTGGGGCTGATGTGCTCATCTAGAGTTCCAAGCAAAGGCTAAATGGTTTAGTTGTCCAGGAGGCTTGTAAAAAGCGGGGTTTCATTGCCAGCTCTGTCTAGAGGACATTATGATGACCAGTCTAGTAAATGTAGTCAAGAGAAACTAGTCGAGGCAGTGATTTGGATCCTGTCCCACCAAAAAGATAACAACAACAGGAATACCACAAAGACGTGATACCTTGGCTGCAGTTTTCTCTCTTCTCAACCAGCCTCCATTGTCATGGCAGTAGAACCTGAAATCAGTTACATCCTTGTCTAGACAAATTCCTAATTGCTCCCCTCCATAGGTCAACCTTGGCACAGTTGGGCTGGGCAGTTCTCCACTGTGGGCGCTGTCCTGTGCATTGAGGGATGTTTAGCAGCATCTCCGGCCTCTGTCCACTAGACGCCCCTCATCCCTAGTGGTGACAACCGAAGAGGTCTGCAGACATTGCCGAATGTTCCCTGGGGGAGGGGTGTAAAGTTGCCCCGGGTTGAACACCGCTGCTTTAGATGAAGGAGAGAAGACGAACCGTCATGTTGACAAGTCTCCTTCCTGTTTCAGTTTGAGAAATTTGGCAAAGCCGTGAATTATGCCGATGCAGCCCTGTCCTTCACCGAATGTGGCAACGCCATGGAGCGCGACCCTCTGGAAGCCAAGTCTCCGTACACCATGTACTCTGAGACCGTGGAGCTTCTCAGGTTCGTGCCTTTCTGCTACCTTTTTCCTTAGCTCTTTCCAGTCATAATTAGAAGCGGCTTTTGCTATGTTTGAAAACCATCACTTCCACATAATAATGACTCATCCAAGGCATCTTCTTCTTAGCGGTCATCATGATTCGTTCTTGCCATTTTACTCATGTCATGGAAAATTTATGACTGACGGACACTGCTTGTATCAGTCATTCCCTTCAGAGGTTATAACGTGAATGTTACAATTTGCAATATTCATAAAATTAAAATGGAAAGGTAGTGGATGCAAGTAAAGTATCATCGTTTCACTGTTTGGCGTGGACACTTGTCTTTCCAAAGCGCAGTTCTATAATTCACAAAAAGCAGTGCTATTGGGATTCCTGTTATAAACCGTGTTTTCTAAAAATTTCTGCCTCAGTTATTACAAATGGAGGGGCACTGTTCCAACACAAAGGCAGCTTTGGAGGCCGCAGCTGTGGAGTAGACGCTCCATGCATCTGGAATTTGAGGGACAGTCAAGGTGGTAGCAGCGGGAGGGGAGAGATGAGGTTGATAATAGGGAAGGGTGTATTAACGGCACAGATTATTGGTTTCATTTGCATTTTGAATGAAATTTTCTGGCCTGTTGCTCTTGGTGCAGTGGAGTTGGTGGGTAATCAAAAAATTCTTGTAAGAAGGGGAAAGAGAAGAAATGATATCCATTCTAGCGCTTTCCAGTAATCTGCAGGTATTTGTACAAGAATTTCCTCTACCTCTGCATAGTGGATAAGCACCTTCATCTGCAGGACGGACTACATCATGGCTTTTGATTGAGTGAGCAGTTCTTCGCCTGATAGGTCCTTGTATCCCAGCCACCTCTGGCTTCGTTAATCGATAATGCCAGGCCTGCTTTTTATTGTGTTCTTGCATCTGCAATAAACTGTTACAAATCTGAGGACTCTCGTACCTAAGCCTTCAGACAGACATCGGACAGATTTAGCATATGCATATTTTCCCAGGAAAGCATTTGAAAAGATCAGAAGAATGGCAGCCATTATAAAGAAGAAGGGGAAAAAAAAAAAAAAAAAAAAAAAAAAAAAAAACTATGGTTACATAGAATCAGAAGATTTAGTTAAAGCCACCAAAGTAGGGAGATTATGAGGAAAGTTCCAGCCTTACCCTTGACAGGCCAGGCAGCCATCTTTGGCTTTTCGCTGCTCTGAGAAGTACATAAAGTATCTCTCAGACTTACTTTATGCCCTGTGAAAGCCACCACCGCCATTTGTAGCTTTCAAGGGGAAATTGATTTCTCAGTGTCTATATGAGGCTGCCTGCAGTTTTCAAAGATGCACAAGATGAAAATCCTGGCAGAAACGACAAGGATTCAAAATGGAGGGGAAACTTTAATGAACAAACCTGCAGAAAAGCCATGCCTTCTATTCATCCCCAAATGCAAATTAAAACAAGGCACTTTTTAAATTGACAGGAAAATGTAAAAATGTTAATACCTAGTGTTAGCACATATGCAAAATAATGGTGAACTGGGCCTCCTCCATGCTGTCGATGGGAATGGAAATTGATCGTTGTAAAGTGAGGGCAATTTGGTATTGTGTAGGAAAACCTATACAAGTGAGCATTCATATCTTTTGAGCCAGTAATTCAACTTCCAGAAATTTGAATTTTCTATACTGAAGAAAGGACTTGTAAGAGGAGAACGAGTTATCTGTACAGTGTTCAGTTTGGCCTATATTATAGCACCCTATTAGAAGCAAACCAAATCATCAGGAGTAGAAGGGTAATTAATTACATCGCAGTACACTCAACAGAATGATTTGCAGCCATTGAAATGCAACAATGATGGAGACTATGTAGCTGCACGAAAATGTTAATAATATGATGTTAAAGTAAAAGCAAAGCCACAGAATTATAGACACATTGCATTTCTAACCACGAAAAGCACGTTTCTGCACGTTGGACCAACCTGGGAGGGAAATAAGGTCATATCTGTAATTGGGGGTGAAATTATGGGTGTTTTCACTCTCTCTCTCTCTCTCTCTATTTTTTTCTTGTTTTCCTTTAGGAAAACACATGCTCTCTAAATAGAAAAGCCAAACATCAAATTTCATTTTTGGTAAAAATGCCATGTGAATCGTTGAGTGATATTTATTTCCATTAGAAAACACTTCTTTTTCCTTTATTATTATTTACAATTCTTTTTTCTTTTTGTCTAAGCACAGGTGTTTTTTTACATGATGTGATAGTTTACTCCCCATAGGAGTATATTTTCAGTGGAACCTGGTGAAAGTCAATGGAGAATTTATAGCCATTCACTTCTTTTTTTTTTTTAAAAAAAAAAAAAAGAGAGAGAGAGAATCTCAAGAGTACAATGAGGTCAGTTACAGGAATAAAGAAAAACTCCTTGGTGATCTGCATGTGTAGATTTAGTGACTGTATTTCAATACTATCAGAAAACAAATGTAAATATAAATAAGGGTTTATTTTTAGGAAACCCCCCCCCCAAAAAAAAGGTTTTGTGATATAAAGAATTGCAGAAGAGACATAATTAAGGTAGCATGGTCAAAGAGGTCCTCTCTGAGAATGAGCTTTCCCACCCTGAATGATGAGGTCTGATTGCTGTCTACAGTGTCTCCTAGTACAGAGAAGCTCATATTTTTATCTTGCACTTCTCACCATTTCTTTTTTTTTTTTAGAACAAAACCCCCATAATTTTTATTTTATTTTATTTTATTTTATTTTATTATTTTTTTATTATTATTTTTTAACATCTTTATTGGGGTATAATTGCTTTACAATGGTGTGTTAGTTTCTGCTTTATAACAGAGTGAATCAGTTATGCATATACATATGTTCCCATATCTCTTCCCTCTTTGTCTCCCTCCCTCCAGCCATTCACTTTTAAGTCAGTATTTTGAAACTTTATTTTGAGATAATTGGACATTCACATGCAGTTATAAGACATGATACAGAAAGTTCCTGTGTACCTCTCCCCCACCCCCTGTTTCCCCCCATGTAGCAGAAGCTCTAGTCCAAGATCACAGCCAGGACAGGGACATTGCTACAGTCCACCTGCCTTACTCAGAAGTCATCAGGTCTTTTTTCTCCCAGATTTTACCAGTCCTACATGCACTACTTTGTATGTCCTCTATATATGTAGAACTTTATATATCTAGTATATGTGCGTGTATAATTTTTTTTTTTTTTTTTTTTTTGGAGAGAAGTTTCAGTTGGGAATAAAATGGGCTAAAGCAACTGAGTCTTCTGGCCCATGTAAGCCGTTGGAACTCCACTATCAAGGCACTTCAACAGTGGCTGCAATTAGAGGGTAACTGTAATAGGAACATGGTTTTTAGTAGCGTAATTTTACGTTGAAGAGATCTGTATTACTCTCTCGCTGACGGTATGCTGGCTGCAGAGAGAGCACCCCATTTTTTTCATTCAAGTAATTATGGTTGCTCTGAGCCTGGGGAATCTGCAATAGACATATACTTGTGAAGACAAGTGGGGCATCACAATGACTTGACATTTCAGTGATCCAGCTGTCAAAGACAGATTTATGACAACATAAGAAGCCTTTTTGCTTAATATGGCAACAACAGGGGGGACCCACATCAAGTGCGCGGGTCCTTTTGCTGGAAAATGTTCACCGGACAGAACTGGGGCAGTAGCTGGGGAGAGCAGAGCGATAGGGGGCGCCGGTGTTCCGGGGAGGCTGCCGAAAGTGCGGGCTCGCCGTCGCCTTCTCGTAATCGAGAGCTAGTCGGGGCTGCCTGCACATTTTCAACTTCCCTCTGCAACACTGAACTCTGTTACTCATTCCACCACGAGTGCCTGTGAAATTGCATTAAAGCTCAGACAATGATTTTATGCAATGAATTGATTTTCAAGAGTCTAAATGCCCAGAATGGAATCTGCTCAGCTCGAAGAAAAAAAATGGGACCTACTCAACCTTTGATCTCCCCGGTGTGGAACAGTAACGATTAAAGAGAATGGAAAGACAAAATATACAAGCGCCATAAATTAGGGGCGCTCAGACCTTTACCTGCTGTGAAATGTACCTCCCTTAGAAAACAAAAAAACCACTTCCTACAGGAATATGTTCCACACCTGAGCCATTAGATACACACAGCTGTTGTTAACTGTGTGATGGAGGCCTCCCTACACTCAGGTCAGACATAGCTGTGTTATTATTTACCTCATCTGTCAAAAACTCAACTGAAACTGACATTTGTGTCCACGTCTCGTTGAAAGCCAATAACATTGTTTAACTAGAATGTTCTTACAAACAGTATTTTGCCAGCATTTATACACACGCCAGACCCACAGTAGTTCCACAACACTGTTCTGGAACATGGGCCCCGGATGTAGCTGGCTTCTCCAGAGCTAGCTTCCATCCGTCACAGCAGTGCCATTGTGACACTCCTGTGGTCGTCGTTTTGTATATGTTTTCAGGAAAGCACACTTTTGCCCATGTGCCCTTCTCGGTCCTAACACCCAGGGCAAATGTGGGGCTAGCACATTTAGGTGCTGGGAACGCCAATGACTTTGGGACTTTCTGAAGGGTCAGACGGATTCCACTTGAGCTTGTCCTTTCTCTTCAAAGGTATGCAATGAGGCTGAAGAACTTTGCAAGCCCCCTGGCTTCGGATGGGGACAAAAAGCTGGCCGTACTATGGTAAGCCTCCTGGAGGCCACCAGGAAACAGCTGAAATGTTGCAGAAGGATTTGAAAAGTCAACTTAAGCTGCTTACCCCCAGATCATTATTCTTGTTTTCCGTTAAACTCTGGAAGGCTAACTGGTGGATTTCTTCAGTCGCTGACTAAACATTTACTCTCCGAATTTATACCCTTATCGAGATGGGATTTTAATGCTTACCCCTTCTTTTTTCTTTAAAAAAACGACACAAATGTATTATCTTACAGTTCTGAAGGTCAGAAGTCTGAAATGTGTTTCACGAGCCTATAATCAGAGTGTCAGCGAGGCTGCATGCCTTCCAGAGGCTCTAGGGGAGAGTCAACTTCCTGGCCTTTTCCAGCTTTTAGAGGCCACCTGCACTCCTTGGCTCAGGGCCCCTTCGTCCATCCTCAAAGTCATCAGTGTAGCTCCTTAAAATAGCTCCCCGACTTTGACATTCGGCCTCCTCCTCCCATCTTTTGTGAACTCTCTTTTTTTCTTTTCTTAAAAATTTTATTGAAGTGCAGTTGCTTTACGATGTTGTGTTAATTTCCGCTGTGCAGCACAGTGACTCGGTTATACATCTATATATATATTCTTTTTCATATCCGTCTCCATTACGCTTTATCACAGGATGTTGAGTATAGTTCCCTGTGCTATGCTTACTCCTTCTTTTGAAAATGTTTTTCTTTTTTCACTTATATGCCTCAATAACCGTAGGAGAGTAACTGCAAAATAGGAATCAGGTTTTAGTTTTATAGGTTTGATTACGCATTGGCATTAACACGGTCCTTTCCTCAACACCACAGCTACCGATGCTTATCACTTCTCTACCTGCGGATGTTCAAACTGAAAAAGGACCACGCCATGAAGTACTCCAGGTCACTGATGGAATATTTTAAGGTAAATCCTTATTTGATATAATTTATAGGCCCCGGGTGATTAAATCACTAATGAGACATGGCAGGCATGTTATTAAATGTCAAGGTTGCTGCTGCCAAAGGCTTAACCTTCCTCATCCTGGCTCCTCCCACCTCTCCTCTGGGGCTCAGCAGAGAGCTTAGGTTTGATTTGATTCCAGAGAGAGAAGGTACAATAGTTCAATCTCCTGATGGTTCTCTGGACTGAACAAATGGCCCCGGGCAGCTTCCCAGCTGCAGTGGGGCGGGGGCGGGGGGCGGCGGTGCCTTCTGCCCACCCTGCACGGGGGAGCCACCAGAGGACACGGCTGGAGCTGTGGCCATGGCTATGGCCGGCCTCGTGTTACATGAGATGCCAGCCTAGAAATTTCTCGGCAGTGAGAGAAGTCACTGCAGCCACCCTGGGCTCTGCGGGGACAGCCACACCCCCTTTGACCATGGGGAGTCTTGGAGGACAGTGGTTGCACTTGAAGACAGCTGATTGCTTTGGCTGCCAAAATAAACAAACAATAAATAAACAGATGCATCGTCTAGGGAGCTGAAGTTTTTTTTTTTCTTTTTCTTTTTCTTTTTTTTTTGCGGTACGCGGGCCTCTCACTGCTGTGGCCTCTCCCGTCGCGGAGCACAGGCTCCGGACGCGCAGGCTCAGCGGCCACGGCTCACGGGCCCAGCCGCTCCGCGGCGTGTGGGATCTTCCCGGACCGGGGCACGAACCCGTGTCCCCCGCATCGGCAGGCGGACTCTCAACCGCTGCGCCACCAGGGAAGCCCTGAAGTCTTTAATCTGCAAGCAGAGCAAGATATTTCAACCATGGCCACTGTGCCGGGTATCACTGGCTTGGGGGGGGGTGTCCTTGGAGCTTCGGTGGCTTCTACCCCCATAACACTGGTCACGTTTTAGAGTTGAGGGGGCTCAAGGCTCCCGTTGGGCAGGTCTTGAAAGGAAAAGGACAATTTTATAGATTTATTTAGTGGTAGTATTCTTTTGCCAAGTTCATCAGACCACTTGGCTCAGTTGCACCAAGGCAGTTGTTTGAAATGAATCAAATCCTGACCGCACCTCAAACATCAGAACCCGGTGAGAGGGGGTGCACAGCTGTGTGCGGACACCAACTCGGGAAAAGGAGCAGGTTCCCCAGCTATCATGTGGTGTGGCCATAATAAAGCCAGTGCTTGTGGAGGTGAACATGGTCAAATGCAGCAGCTGCCCACGACCGTATGTCTACAGCGTCAGCCTGGGCTCTGGAAAGGCGTCTTGATGCTATAGGTCTGGGGCAGGTCCTAAGAATGGGCATTTCTAACAAGTTCCCAGGCAATGCTGACGCTGTGGTCGCGCTTTGAGCCCCAGCCCCAGCATCTGTCCTCTGCGGCCTGTCCTGTGGGGCTTTCAGGGCACTGCCAGATACCAAACAGACGTTAAGTAACTCACTCCTCTGGCAGTGTGTTGAGCTTCTCTGAGGTTCAAAACTGGAGGCTCCCACCTGGTGAGGCCATTATAACGAGTTGTCCACATGGGGCGGTGCTGAGTGTCAGGTTTTCCTGTGCTCCACAAGTGTACCGCCACTAAAACAGAGGAGACCCATTCTCTTTTAAAAAATGTATTTGATTGAAGTCTAGTTGATTTACAATGTTGTGTTAATTTCTGCTGTACAGCAAAGCGATTCAGTTATATACATATATACATTCTTTTTTCATATTCTTTTCCATTGTGGTTTATCCCAGGATACTGAATAGAGTTGCCTGCGCTCTACAGTAGGACCTTGTTGTTTATCCATCCTGTACATACGAGTTTGCATCTGCTGACCCCAAACTCCCAACCCACCCCTCCCCCACACCCCCTCCCCCTTGGCAACCACAAGTCTGTCCTCTATGTCTGTGAGTCCGTTTCTGTTTCACAGATATGTTCAACTGTGTCATATTTTAGATTCCACATGTAAGTGAAATCATATGATATTTGTCTTTCTCTTTCTGACTTACTTCACTCAGTATGATCATCTCTAGGTGCGTCCATGTTGCTGCAAATGGCATTATTTCATTCCTTTTTATGGCTGAATAATATTCCATTGTACATATATACCACCTCTTCTTTATCTACTCATCTGTTTATGGACACAGGTTGCTTCCATATCTTCGATATTGTAAATAGTGTTGTGATGAACATTGGGGTGCGTGTATCTTTTCAAAGTATGATTTTCTCCGAATATACGCCCAGGAGTGGAATTGCTGGATCACATGGTAGTTCTATTTTTAGTTTTTTGAGGAGCCTCCATACTGTCTTCCACAGTGTCTGCACCAATTTACATTCCCACCAACAGTGCAGGGGGGTTCCCTTTTCGAGGAGGCCCATTGTTTAAACCAGCCCATCAGAGGGCAAAGATTGTTTAGTGATCCACTGCAATGCAGCCCTGGAAAACCATCAGCCATGAGGATATGCATGTGACGATAGCAAATCAAGGTGGTTCTCACACACACACACACACACACACACACACACACACACACACACACACAGATGCTGCTTGGTCCTGGCGAGTTCCTGGGATTTCAGAAATGACATCCTACCTTGCATCCCAAGGAAAAAGTTTGTAACTGGAGCTAAAGGTGAAAAGCTTGTCTGTACTCTGAAGAGCTTGTTTTGCAGAATAAATTTCAGATGAGGATAATTAAACCACTTCTTGGAGAACTGAGTCTGATTTCACTGGGCCTTTTAGTATATAAGATCTTTCATCAAGTGACTTTCATGGTCCTGATTGGAGCCCACTAATTATCCCAACCAGCTATTTTCATCGAGTGCGCATCGTGGTGTGCTGACGTGCACATACATTCCAGCTCTGGTAAGGAAACAGGAGGCATCCCGAAATGCTGCAATCAATATTAATGTACTCGAAATCACGCTTCCATCTGTTTCTGAATTAATAAAACACAAGATAGATGTCCTCATTTCCCTCTCTCTTTCTCTCTTTTAGCAAAATGCTTCAAAAGTCGCTCAGATACCATCTCCATGGGTAGGCAATGGAAAGTAAGTATCTTCTGAAAATTATGTTTTCATGAAAATCAGCGATTGAATAGACCCCAAATATTGGGTATTGACAACCCCAGGTGGAAAGGTCAGTTCTGAATCTCCCGTAATTTTGGTGCTCGCAGAATTCTAGTCAGGTTTCAGCTAATAGCAGGACAGAAAAGTTTAACATGATGTGATTCCAAATTTCTTTCACTATTTGATCTTTAAGCCAAATGACGGCCATAAAGATATCAGTTAATGAGATGGCAAGCACCATGCCATTTCGGGGAGGCAGGGTAAAGTTACCTCCACTGCCGTGATTCTTCAGTGATTCACTCAGTAATGAAAGACCAATGAAATATTCATTGATATATGGTAAATGCTTTAATAAAACCGGAGGCATAATAGCGCTGAAAATGTGAAGGCACTTCGTCAGCCAATTGTCTGAACCTTCACGATGATTTTCATGTTAATACTAAAATACCCTGACCTAAAATGTAAAAGCAGCTACTCTACTGCTGGTCTGAGGCTCAGTGAACTCACCCACTCTGCGGCCGTCCTTAGAGCCCTATCTGCTCGGGGCAGCTCAGCCCTCCAGCAGTAGGGCAGGAGCTGGGAAGCCAGCTGACGTGGGCCAGAAGCTGCCCTTAGCTCCCAGGGTAAACTAAGAGAGCCCCTTCCTCTCTCTACAATGAAAGGGCCGGACCCAGTGACATCGGAGGCTCATCTGAAGACAGGTTCCTTTTCAGAGGGCGACTTGGAATCCTAGTTCTGTCTCAGCCCTGAACTGGCTACATGCCCACACTTAACTGCTTGAGCATCCGTTTCTCCTGTGATTCCAATACCTCCCTCACCACCCCAAGCCCACTTCCCACCAGTGGATGTATACCTTCACAAAGAGCTGGATGTATACCTTCACAAAGAGCTGGGGGGTTTTGCCCATTTTTCATCGTTTCAAAATTCTTAACGTCTCTGATCAAAACACTTTCTGGAACAGTGAAATAGTCTCCTTTGCCACTTTATAGTTTAAAGCACAGTCCCGAAGCAGTGGGATCGTGAACTCTAAGAGCATAAAAACATTGAGAGTGAGGGAACAGATCCATTAAAAACTACGTGTTAACTCAATTACTGTATTGAAAGGAAGTGCCATTCAAACCGTTGAATTAGGTCTCAGTCTTACACTGACGGACGAAAGTGAAAGAACGCTTCTCTCTGCAAGCTCAGAAAATAAAAATAACTATTGAAAGGCCCAGAGAAAGCTATTTTCTCTGAGCACGGAGTAAAGCAAGGGCAAATTCAGGTAAGCAGCCATCAAAGGATCATTGGAAGAAAAATTTTTTTAATTCTGCAACGAAAGAACTCAAACACATTCTAAGCTTGCGAAGTCACGTTAGAAGCCTCCCGAAATGATCTTTAAAGCAGCTTCTGTCTGAAGAAAGCACACTCCCTTTGGTAGTGCAGAGAGCTTTTGAATGAGGCAACTCAAAACGGTCGCCCAGGGGTTACAGCCCATTCATTCAGCAAATACTTTGGGTACATTTCCCTAC